TGCCTGGCGAACTCCACTGGGAGGTTGGCTTCTTTGGAAAGACTCAATTCCGCAAGGCTCTTCGCACTGACGGTAAGGACGTCAACCTGCCTCCTGAGTTGAAGGACAAGAAGGAGCTTCAGGACGAGAAGGGTACCATCGAGAACGCCGAGGAAGATGCGGTTGTCCACACTCCTCCCGACCCACTTTGGCCCTCTGGTATTCTCAGCATTGTCGTGCACCAGATCGTCGGACTCGAACTGGCGAACGTCAAGGGCTCCAACGGAAAGCGCAAAGGACGTGAGTACGAGCCGGCCCGTCTCGATGCCGGCGATGTCAAGGAAGAGGAAGGTAGCAAGTTGCCCAGTTCCTACTGCACCATCCTTGTCAACGACGAACTTGTTTACAAGACGCGTACAAAGGCTGTTTCATCTCAGCCCATCTTCAACGCCGGTACAGAAAAGTTCATCCGGGACTGGCGATCGTGCATCACCACCATCACCGTTCGCGATTCCCGCAACAGACAACATGACCCCATCATTGGTGTTGTTCCTCTGAAACTCTCCGACATCATGCAGACCGGAAGTGAGGCCACCCGATGGTACCCTCTAGACGGAGGTATCGGATATGGAAGGATCAGAATCTCTTTGCTCTTCAGATCCGTCGAACTGCGCCTGCCGCCCCCTCAGCTGGGTTGGGAAGTCGGAACTTTCGAGTTTACTTCCAACAGTATGAACGCTACGAACTACGGACACTTGAAGACCAAGATTCGCATTCGCACTGGCGGAAGCTCCGTGAGCGTGAAGCGTGATACTTGCCAAAAGCTGGAGGAGACGGAAGGATACTCTTGGGACATCAGCGGCGAGAACAAGCACGAAAAGATCCGTCTTCCCGTCCGTTATCGATACAGGTCTCCTGTATTCTTCGAATTTTACCCCCCCGGAAAGCGTCATGCCGATGCCTACGCATCTTTGTGGCTGCAATCGCTGCCCGACCAGGAAGAGCAGGACTTTGACATCCCGATTTGGAAGTGCGACAGAGGTCTCCGCCTCTCTCAGAACTACATCACCGAAGACAACTACAAGGACATCCCCGATATCGAGATTGAAGAGATTGGACGCCTCAAGTTCCGCGGACGATTCTCCACTGGTACCGACCGCGACCACATCAAGTTTGTCACTAGCAACGACTCTCGTGAGACGATTGAAACATGGGAAGCCTGCTTTGCTGAGGGTGTCCGTGGTGAGGAGGTGACACCTGAGGTGCCCCCTGCGGTCCAAAAGCTTCACGACGAGTCTTTGACTCATGGACGCGACGTTCTGGCTCAAGCAAACCCCAAGGAGAAGGAGAAGTGGATGGCCAAGGACGGAACGGATTGGAGTGGAGCTTTCGGCAAGGACCCTACGGCACTCATGGATGGCGAACAGGAGGACTTGAACGACGAATCACGCGACACTTTCGACTCAGACGATGACAGCAGCGATGTCGATCTTGGACTTACGGATGCTAGCACCAACCAAGGAAGTGATGATGCTCGCAAGTCCGTCGATAGCGCCAATAGCGACGCGTCATCCAGCGTCTCGAAGAAAAACAGCAACGGCCCTGTCCAGGCTTACAAAGACTACCAGAGCAGGAGCAGAGACTTGCATCGCCAGCACAGAGGCCTGATGCAGTGGCGTCCGATGCGTAACGTGCAGTTCGCCAAGGACGAAGCCAAGTACGCTGTGCGAAAGATTACGAAGCTCGGATCTCTGAACGGACGCAAGCCCGATGTCGAGACGGAGGTTTAATGATAGTTTCCTTTGTTCACCACAGGAACAGAAGGGAAGCGAGGGAATGGGATATGGATAACGGTCTTTTGTTTTCGCAAGTCTTCTGTAATGTCTACGAAGCATATCTAAATGACGCAAATTGCGATGATGGGGGCGTTAGGAAATGTATTTGTAGTCAAAGCAGGCAAATGAAGTTTTGAATCAGTCGACCTTCTTGTTGAAGCATGTGCCCTTGAGTTGAGTATATTGTAAACTTATAATGTTGGCCAGATTTGGGCTTTCTTCGACCCAGGAACAGGAAACACGGAAGGAATCGGAAACCACAAAAGAAACACAATAAGTCCATGTATGCATGAATAAAACTAGTAACCCCTAAACTCTATCGGCCTCTAAATCTGAAAGTCTCATTCCAACCAGCCTTCACCGGCTCTGACTCTGACATACGGGCCCGTATTCCCTCAGCCAAATCCTTCTCAATCTTGCATCGACCATTTTCTCCCGCCTTTCGATACCAATTAGCCAACATGAGTCTTATTTGCAAAGCTCTAGTTTGGCATTCGCGGTCTCCATCTCGAAGCCTCTTTGCAAGAGCATCCAAGCTGACCATCCAACATTGACCTTTGCCTTCATCTCTATTGAGACGCGCCAGAAGCTTGCAAGCAAGCACATGAGCATAAGTTTCCCTTCCCCAAGTAGGCTTATTACCAAGCCTATCCGTCCTTTCCTTGAGATTTGTAGCTAGCTTAAAGATCAATGAGCTGTCTTGGCCATGATAATTGGCCATGTACATGTACTCTGTAAGCAAAGAAATTGTACGTTCATCACACAACCCAAATTCCACCTCAGCGCTCTCGAGGACCTTGTCGTAGCTTGGCAGAACGTGCTCCCCCAGCTTTCCTGGCCAGTACTTCAAAAAGTGGCCCGTCATTGACAGAACCACGGGATGAAAGTTGCCCAGGTAGTCCATGAAAAGGTCAATGCAAAGCTGGTAGACTCGTTCTACTGGCAACTTAATGTCCTGAAGACAAAAGAAACGTAGTGACTCGAGAGCGTATACCATAGGATCTTCTGCGCCGAGGCGTATCTTGATGAGTCCTATGATACCCGTCAAAAAATTCCCAACTAGATGGTCGTCTCGATTCCGCGCCAGGACTACAGAAGAGACCTCCTTTTTTCTGGGTTCAAGTCGGAATGCGATACCTCTCATGTAGAGAATTATCCTCCATATATAGACAAGCATCCATGGATCCTTCTCCCGAAGTAACTTGTCAAAGAGAGACAGCGCCTTGTGAAGGGTCTTTTGGCATTTTCCGTTGGTATCGTCTGGCCGCGTCACCAAAATAGAGGCACCGTGGCATTGATCGGACACAGCCTTCCAATCGCTGGAAGAGTCGCAATGGCCTTTCGGGGGATTGAGACTGAAGAAGTCGCCAGTCCATCCACTGACTCCATCTAATCCCCGATCGAACACCCGCATGAAATAACCCCACACATTGAAGAGCGCTTTTTCTAGCTGGGCGAGCCTCGGATCATCTGGTGCCAGCAGAGAAAGATGTTTATCGAGTCGATATGCAAGTTTCTCAGAATCTTGGAAGTGCTTCTGGGGAAGACTTTGTGCAGATCGTGCTCTGCCTGACGTCCCAGAGAGGGCCTGTGTGATTGAATCGACAGGTCGGCATTGTGATTGGTTTTTGAAGAATCCCCATGCTGCGAACTTCTTCTTGTACATGTTCTCGCTGACGTCCGGCTCTCAATTAGCTCACGAAGAAAATGCTTGGCTTGAGGACTTACGATGCCTTGAAGCCATGCGCACTATCCATTACCTTCGAGACCGCGCTGAGGGATTTGGCTTCGTCTAGGTAGAGGGTTTTGAGTATCTGCTTCTTCGACAGCCATTCTCGTTCGTCGTGCTCTGCTTTTCTCCCGGGGCGCCCCTTTTTCAACGCTGTTTGGGGCTTGCTGGTGGATGGTAAAGCTGACGAGACTGCGTCGTGAGATGTTGCCTGTTGCGACTGAGAAGGCGTGGGGGTGAGAGTTTGAGTGTCCTCCCGTACTCTTGTCGGAATGGCGCGTCTCTGATCTATGAAAAGGGTCTCGAATTGATATCCAGCGGATTCGAATGACGGCGGGGACATTTCGCTTGACTCAGCAGTGCTCTGAAGGCAGATCATAGCGTTTTCGAATTCGGAATGCTGGTCAAGTTCCATCGAATCCATGATAAAAGAGTTTATGGAGCAATATGAGCCGAATATGAATGGTTTTGAGGGTTTTCAAAAGGGAGAAATTTCGAAAGGATGTTTAGCGTGACGGGGTTCTCAGAGGCAGACGAAATTGAGGGATCACAGTAGGTCCGAGACGGATACTTCGCCATCCATGGAATCAATGCCTGTCAGGAAGTTCGCAGATGACAACTTATCTAAGGTCAATGAAGGCTCCTTTTTGGGCCATCAAGTTCCAGACTCTTCACCCCACGCTCATACTGCTTGTCGTTGGTTAATGACAATATCCCCGCAGTACTTCCGGCCAATTGCTATTCTCGCGACCGAGTGGCACAATGACTTATGGTGTACTGCTAGCTGCATGATCTGATTGGTAATAGCAATACAGACTGCATTAAAGTTCCTTTTAAGTTGATTGGCTAAAGCGGTATCACCGCTTGGTCGGGACAAGACACACTGCATGTACCGTTGGGTCTGGTGGTTGGTGAACATTGATACCATTGGTAGTTGCTGTGGCCAGCCCGGTACTCTGCAGGAATCATGGATGGGCTCCTACGTTCTCAAGAAGCAACGCGGACAAGCTTGCAATGATATGCGTTGGACTTGCAGAAGAGATGCATATTGATTTTCAGTTGAGCCAGAACCATGAGCAGGCTCGCTAGTCACTTTGTCCACGTCGACGCCCTGGTATCAATTCGTGTCTCCGTTGGGGGTGGTTCGAAATGGTCCTGCATGCAAGTCATCGTCCGTGCCGTCTTTGGCATTTCATGGTGCTCGTGACCGTCCGGGCGAGAGACAAGTGATACGTACAGCATACGATCCCAGTTTACATGCATCTTAGGAACCCCAGGGAAAGGATGGACATCTGAACCCTGGGCAAACGTTTTCACAAGTATAAGTAGGCCTGAAAGGTCCCCATAACAGCGGTGGCTATTCTAAATAGATCAGACACATACATACAACATCTATCTCTGTCTTTCTTTCTTTCCTGAGATCTTATTATTTACGCAATCAAGTTCTCTCGCACAATATGTCTCGGCATTGGTCAGACAACTCCTCAACCGTGACCGACTGCTCCGCGGTCTCTGAGTACGACGAGCATGCCATTGAGCTTGAAGTAGACTCTATGTTTTCGATGATTCAAAAGGACATGAAAGAATTCAAGAAGCAGTCGGATGAATCGAAGACCAGACTCAAGAGACCAACAAAAGCCAAGCACAGAGCCTTTGTCGCGGTTTGCAGCCCGCACAGTGTATCTCGCCTCTCAAAGAAATGCCAGAGTCTTCAGAAACCAGCTTTCCACTTCTTTAGAAGTAAGACTATTCCTCTTCCGTTATTATCATCTCCTATCATTAGGGCAGCTGTGAGCTGACGCGTTGGAAAGGGAAGCGCTCTTCTGTGGTTGTCACCACTGATTTCGCACTCGATTCGACCATCCGTGACTTAGCGAAGAGCCATGAGTGCGATGAGCTTGTTCTTGTTGTGAGCGGCCATATTGAAGCCATAGACTTCGACGTTCCGTCAAACTTTCGAGTGCTGATGGTGCTTCGTTGTGGCTTCGGCTCCAATGCGAAAAAGTACCTGCACCTTGACGGGTCCTCGACTTTTTGTGGCAGTATGATCCAGCGGTGGGCACAGAAGGAACGAAGACGCCGTTTGTTTTTGGGACCTGCGGTGCTGATTGACATCGACCCCGAGGAGAAGTCTTGGGCAAATTCCGAGCAGGCGTTCAAGCAAACTCTCAGCAGCCGAGAGAAGATAAGGATCAGACGTCACGTGGAGAAGATGAAGAAGACGTCTGTGGACGACGGCGAGTGGTGGAAGAGATGGAGAGGAAGCCTTGCTTCTATCTTGGGCATCCTAGCTTGTGGTGCAAAACTCGCTGTCTCGATCAAGGCCTCTGCAGGAGGTGCACTGTTTCAGTTCCAATACGGCTTGCTCAATATCAAGGCTGGGGCAGCATGTGCTGAGGCTTCGGCATTCATGACTGCGGCTGGCCCTGCCGTTCTCATTGGTGTTGGGGTTGCTGCAGCAGTATACTACGTGCCCTGGGACTCGATCCTCGAATGGCTTGGGGGTATTCTATCTTGGCTCTCAGACGGTTTCATAGCGATCTGGGAGATGTTCAAGGATTGGATGGCCAGCGGGAACCAGAGTCACAATAACTATCAAAGACGCCGGGAGAGAAAGGGGAACGCTAGAGTACCGAGACCGATGGATTTCTCCTTCTAACGCCTCACTACGTATCCCCTCGCACTGCGGCACCTATCCCTTGTGGAAGAAATTGACCATTCGTGTCAGCTTTACTTCCAAATCTTTTGCTCAACCGTTGCCACATTGCTCGCTGCAGCTAGAATCATTTGACGAATCGCACTTGATGGATCGAGTCAAGGGTGAGGCTGCGAAAACGGGACGCCTAGAGTGAGGACTAGCGGATGATGAAGAGTATCGCATTTGCAAACTATGGTACATGAATGATAAGGCGCATAAGACTGTCTTCAGTCCTTGATAATTCCGAAAGGTACTCTTATCCAGAGTATCCAGTGCCATGTCCACGGCCACTTCCCTGTCGGTTCGTGGTGCAGTCAGGACGAACGACAACGTCAGGCGCATAAACCGGCAAGTCAGACGGGTTGCTCGGGATGGTGACCTCATCGGTAACAACGCTGACGAGCAGGTTGTCCACGTTCTGCCTGTCCTGCACCTCGCCGTTGACCAGGGCGACGCGCCAGTGGAGATTCTTCTGCAGGTAAGGGATCACATCCTCGGGGGCCAGGCTGTCGACCATGCCGGCGAGGTAGCGCTCGACGAGGGCCAGGGTGATGGGGATCTGGCCCGTGATCTGTTGGCCGCGGGCCCGGCCCTCCTGGCAGTTCCGGCAGGCCGTGTTCTCATTCTGGCCGAAGGTGGCGAAGACGCCGACGTGGGAGTGCTGCGTGGGGTAGAGCAGGGGCGAGGCGTCGTCGACGTCGCCGAGGAAGACGTGGACGACGTAGTTGCCGCCGAGCTGCGCCTTTTCGGCCTTGATGTTGACCAGCCACTCGAGGTACTTGTTCTCGGCGCCGACGAGCTTCTTCAGCTCGCGCTCCTTCGGGAGGTGGACGCCGTTGGTCTGGGCCAAGGGGGCTTGCTGCTCCGGCGCCGCTGCCAGTTGTCCACGCTCGGCTTTGATGTGGTTCTTGGCGCGCTGCTGGAGTTCCTGGGTGGCGTTGTCGAGGTCGGCGCTGCTGCTGCGCATGATGTTGGCAAAGGTGGCCATCTTGCCGTAGAGACGGTCCAGTTCGTTGATGACGTCCTTGGGGGTCGGGAACCTCGCCTTCTGGGTCTCGGGGTAGGCGTACCCAAAGACCTCGGTGGTGCGGACGCCCTCCGAGGTCCAGAACTTCTGCTCGGTGCCGTTGCTGGACTGGGCGAAGGGGGCAAGCGGGGTGTCGATGCCCTCCGGGTCGCCGGCCTTTACGAAAAAGTTGCCCCAGTTCTCAGCGGAGGGCTTGGTCGTCACGTAGGTGAGGGGGTCAGAGGGCTTGTCGTGGATGGCCTGCCAGATGGCGAAGAGGCGGTCGATGTTGGCGTGGTGGAGCCAGAAGATGGGGTCGAAGGAGGAGATCTCGGGGTTGGTCATGTGGCCGCCGGGGCCGCCGGTGTAGTTGTGGACGGCGTTGTGGACGTCCTCGATGCTACCCCAGCCGCGGAAGTCGATGTTGCTGGGCTTCTGCGCCTCGAAGCGGTTGCTCGACGCCGTGGCGAACTCGGTGTAGGACTGTAGGATGAAGTTGACGCGCTCCGTGAGGTTCTTGCCCTTGGGGCTGCCCTGCTCGCCCTGGAAGAAGGCCAGGAGCTGGCGGTTGATCTCGGCGTCGCCGTCGCGGATGTTGGGGTAGCGCACCGTGGCTCCGACGCGTGGGGCCTGAGATGCGGAAGTCAGTTTGTTTGCTGGCAGAGGAGAATGGGACTCTACGCACGGTGTTGATGTCCCGCAGAGATGCGGACTCTCTGAAGGTGTAGTTCGAAAGGGGGTTGATCTCGGACTTGCCCGACAACGCCTTAGGTCTGACGACTTTGTTGAGGGCTGCGGAGGCGGCTTGAGGAGGGAAGACGCCGAGGTCGGGACGGGCCCAATCCCAGTACGGCATGCGGAAGGTCTTTGCTGCCTTGACGTAGTCGGCCTTGCGCTCGTCCTCGGTGTAGGCGTTTGCAATGAAGTTAACGTGCTTGTAGAGCTCGGTCTGATCGTGCGTGTGGTTAGTCTTTTTTGCACCGTACATGACGCTTTCAGGGGTAGAAGCCTCACCTCGAAGATGGCGAGATAGGGGCGGTGCCAAGTGAGGAAAAGGATCGAGCTGTGGGTGCAAAAGCCTCCGAAGTCGTTGTCGACGCGGACCATGTTGTTCCATGGCTTGTCTGGCCACTTCTTGTAGGGCAATCCGTGGATGGCTAGCTTTCATGTTAGGTGGGTGTAGGAGCAGAGGTGGAGGACGGCAACTTGCCAGCGAGTTCGAAAAAGGAGAGGGGCATTCCCTCTGGCACATTTTCCTTGAATCTCTCCAGACCAAGGAGGTAGAGGTTCCACTGGTCCGGCTGGTTCTTGATCATGTCCCGAACCTCCATACGAACAGGAGGGTTCTCTGTGATGTGTCAGTGGTTAAATTGTAGGGAGACTTGCAAGTCACCTACGAGGATCATCGGCAGGGATGCCGTGAACAAGGATAGGGCCCCTGGTGCCGTCAGAAGACATGTTGACGAGATGGTTTGTGGTAGTGTTGCAAAATAGAGTGTAGAGAGCGAAGGTAGTGAGGTGAGAATCCTCTTGTCATACCGGCTTCTAGAGGTCAGCAGATTAAGCTTATATACTTTGTCTCTCACAGTCGGAACTCCTACTTACACTCCATCGCTGCGGGATTCTCTCCCGCTCACCAAAAGGCTGCGAAAACGCCGGTACCTCGGGACCTCGTTCAGCCCTACTCAGCAAGGGGCTGTCTCACATCCGGGCCGCTGGGCATATCCCGTCACACCGGCCGCGCGCCGCGGTGCGGGGATGATCTCCAGCCAGCCATGTCAGCTCGGGCGCGCGGCTCAGCCGCAGCAAACACTCGGCATGTCAGCATGAACCAGGCCAATGAACGAGTCTGCACCATCTCACCGACTTGCGAGACATCACGACATCGTCCACTTCTGGTCGTATAAATCAGATTGTGGCTTGAAGGGGAGGGGGTGACCCCCCCGTTTCCCGTGACGAAACCTTTGTCTCGCGGTTGCGTGGGTGCGTGCTGGGCATGCCGTCAGCTACGGTCAGCAAATGCCCCTTCCGGCGACTTTTGAGCGTTGGATGCCTTGTCGTTGAGAGTCTCGGTCGGGAGCGAATCACGCGTGGTCTTGGTCTGGAGATCCCTGTCTTGGCGTCTATGAGGTGGAGGCTGAAAGGCTATTCGGTTGGTTTGTGGAAGCCTTGAGATGTAGTGGTCAGGGGGACCGCGACTTTCTGACTACGGTTTTGAGCTACAGGTTCTGGCAACTAGGAGAGACATGATCACGCTGACGTTCTGGCATGGCAGTTTGAGCTGAGGGTATGTTGATGTTGATGGAGACATACACAATTTGAATCACACAATTTTCCGCGCACAACTAACATGAAACTGGCACAAATATGTGTTAAGTATACGGCAGAGTTTTTCTATTAGGAATACACTCTTTCTTCTCTGTTCCTTCTTTCATCCTTGTCGTCACTCGTCGTTCCTGATGCTATAGCCCTCAATGTTCTGACATTTCGCATACCAGAACGTCTGTATGAGCCGTAACAGGATCCGAAGACCGCTGAGAAGTATTCGGAGCATGAACCAGACTCTAGCTTTGAAATCCCACGCTGCCATGGTATTATTAGGAGAACCACATCTACGCTGACGTTCTAGCATAACGCTATGAGCTGAGGCTGTAGATAGCTGGGACTGTATAGTCCCTTTACTGTAACTACTGCTTAATCTCTATTACTTCTTTCTTCTCTATTACTTCTTTTTTCTCTATTACTTCTTGTTATCCTTGTTATCCTTGTTATCCTTGTTATCCTTGTTGTCCTTGTTGTCCCTCGTCGTCCCCCGTCGTCCCTCGTCGTCCCTCGTCGTCCCTTATTCTTTCTTCTTATTGTCTTCGTGGGCCTTTTGCAGCGTGCGTCCTGACGCGCAGCGAAGCGCAGCGAAGCGCAGCGAAGCGCAGCGAAGCGCAACCGAAGGAGCGAGAGAGTTACAAATAGAGATCTCAGCAAAGCTTGGAAGCGAAATGGATATGAGGGACCTCTTTGGTCCCTAATGCTGTTGCTCTCAATGTTTTGACATTTCGCATACCAGTACTTCTGCATGATGCGGAATCCCAACATGGTTCCCTGAATCCCGGAAACCGAAAAGTCGGAAGAACATGAACCAGATCGCATGTTCGAATTCCCACGCTGTCATGAGTTTGCACCCGATGTGAACGCGTCCCATTTCCATTGGAGAGTATGCGAGGCTTGCAATCTCGCCTGAATTGGCTTGTGTTAAAGTAAAACCGCAGCCGGAGAAAGTGGCCCGGTTTTCTCGTCGGTGGTCGAAATTCAGCTTCTGCGATGTGCCGTACTGAATGAGATAAATTTTGGATTTAATTCGGCCAGCGTATCTTGCCATCAAAAGGCGAATAAACAGAGCACGGGGGCCTGGGGCTTGCATCATTTCAGCGAGCTTGGCAGACGTGTATTCCCAAGCCCGACGCCTAGAGCTGAAACCTATCGACCAGTCGTAATTGAAGGACCAGAATGCAAAATATTCGAACGCAATCGGCTCGTCGAATGCAACTCCCAGACCCCATTTCGTAGATCCTAGGTCTCTGATGACCTTGTTCACGTCCCATGTGATGCGGGGTATTGCTTGGAAGACTGTCAAGTCTTTCTGCGGAAGCACTCCGAAGCTGGCATCCGCAATCCATGCATCTGTACTGAGATACGTTCTTACATATTCATCGGCTCTCGAATGTGTGTTGGAACTATCTGCAAGTCGTCTGTAACGACGTGTACCGAATATGACTGGCGCGGGTTCTTCGGTTCGAGGGAAACGACTTTCGAATGCTCTTTGCACGACGCATCTCGACTCCTTGCAAGCTGTCCATAACCCAGAATCGTATCCCATGAGGGGAATTTTGTCCATTCCGCCCAGCAGGTACCGGTCCGGGTGTCGATCTATGGGCAACGTGGTGAAGTATTTCCCGCCGTCGTCGTCGTCGTCTCTGTCTATCATGAAGTAGTGAATACTCGGCAGAAGAGGACGAACGGCGAGCTCCCATATCAGAAGTCTCAATTCAGGAGGGAGCTCCATAAACTGAGTAAACATGATGAGCTGGTTGTAATTTGAGCTACTATGAGGTCGGGTTGTTTCAAGCTGGCAAGAGCCCAGCTTCAGAAGGCAGGCGTGAGGGCGTGGAGGCGTGAGGGCGTGGGGGCGTGAGGGTGTGAGAGCAGAATGTCAGAAAGGCACGCAAGAGGGCAGGTGTCTTAGGAAGAAAGGCTACGCTTCGGTAGTAGTCACGCTAGAAAGCTGTCGCGTGAGGGCTCATCTACTAAAAATAAAAAGATAGGTTCCTCCGAATACCTACACTTGTTAGTCAAGGGCACGGAGAAGCAAAAGCTTCCTTCGCCAGTAGGGAAGACGGACGACAAAAAAACCCAAAAAGACGGCAACGGAGATAGAAATATGGGATGCACAGCGAGGGACAGGTGACGGTAGCTTTATCCATCTACCCGGATAGACAATCCTAGAAGAATGTACGCTAGAGGCATAGTTTTCAGCACTATGGGATAGACCTAATGTGTATTTGAACGACAGCTATATAGTTACGAACTCTGGGATAGTGCACTTTACGCACTCGATTATCCATGTGTCTCTCATTCTACGAGAGACACGAGCGATGTTCACAAGCAAGAGCGAGGTCTTTTCAAAAACGGAGGTATGAGGTTTAGGTTGAAGAGGTGTTCTCATAGGAACCTTGGAAGTACCGCTCTATCTATGTCTGTTTTTTGGAGCCCTTTCCGCGTCCACCAAAGCCCCAGCAAATCTGGTTTGCCATCTTGACATTGACTCCAAGTTCGTCAGCATACGAATACACCAAACCTGGGTTCTTCTGGAACCAACGTCCGCACATGATGACGTCCAAATCAGACTGGAGAAACCCCTCTGCCATGGCACCCGTGCTGATTCCGCCGACCGCAGAAACAACCATCCTATCTCCGACTGCCCTCTTGATCTCCTTGGCAAAAGGTGCCTGGTAGCCAGGTCCAGACTTGATGCTCGTAGATTGCAGAGGATGGATACCACCGGAACTGACGTCGAGAAAGTCGACACCTTTCTCGGCCAGAATCGGCGCTAATTTGCAAGAGTCTGCAACAGTCCAGCTCTCGGGAAATTCTTCCTTCATGTTATCAAACCAATCCGTCGCGCTGATTCGAACGAAAAGGGGCATATCCTCTGGAATGGAGGCTCGTACAAGATCTGTGATCTCAAGGACTAGCCTCACTCTGTTCTCCCAGCTTCCGCCGTATTCATCTGTGCGCTGATTGCTGATGGGACTCAAAAACTGATGAATGAGGTAGCCGTGAGCGGCGTGGATCTCGACCACGTCGAAGCCAGCCCTGACGGCCCTCTTTGCTGCGTCCACGAAAGCCTTCTTGAACTCCTGGATTTGTTCAAACGTCATTTCTCTCGGCTGCGGGTAGGCATCGTTGAAGCGCAGAGCAGAAGGCGCATACACCTCGTCAGGCCATCCACCAACCTCCGCGCTTGCAGTAGCGTTCATGTGCAGAAAGGGCGCCACGGTGCTCGACTTGCGGCCGGCGTGACTGAGTTGGATGCCGATCTTCTGGCCTTGACTGTGAGCAAACTCGATGATGCGTTTCAGCGGCTCGATTTGTCCGTCTTCCCACAGGCCAATGTCTTGAGGTGTGATACGACCTTCTCTCTGCACTGCAGTAGATTCCATCAAGGCGAGACCAGGTCCGCGCTGGATGATGCCACCCAGGTGTGTCAAGTGCCAGTCAGTTGCGTATCCATCCTTTGCAGAATACTGGCAGAGAGGCGCCAGGAAGAGCCGATTTTGGAAGGTGACGCCACGGACGGTCAGCGGCGTGAAGAGTTTGGGAATAGGGGCGCCGGTGGTTGTGCTGATTGCGGTGCCGGAGACTGGATCCTGAAGCGGAGTGTAATACGAGACATCTTTTGCCGCTGAGCTGTCTATAGCTGGGAAATGAGGGGCCTCCGTGGCTCCGTTGATCTGTGGCATCTTGAAAAGAAGGTGACGAGGAGCTGACAGTGCCGTACTTGAACATCTCTTGATACATTCGACCTTAATGAGAAGTCTACGTGATTTATACGGGTTTAAAGCAACTATTAGAGCTCTTTGACTTAGTCAAAATATTCATTAGGCCTCCAGCGCATTCGATCTCGAAGCCGATGATACTCGGCGCATGCGTCCCGTCACCGAGCCGGCCGGATTGTGGGGTCTCGGTCAGGTCATCCGTGGTGCGAGCAACAGCATCACAGTGAAATCCCTTGAGTATGACAAATTCTCGGAAACTCTATCCGCGTCTACTAGAACAATTTGGGATTCAGTTACCATCGTAGCTAACGAATGCATGCCTGGGGGCTGAAGAGCACCGAGTAATGGGATCGGTGTAATGTCTATTTTCGCCGACGGTCAAATGGACCCCTTGCCGAGGCGTTAAGATTGAAGAGACCACTAGCCACCCAAATGGCTTCCATAGGCGACTCATAGGATTGAACGATCTTTGTATGCGTCTTTTATGAAATGGCGTGAATGATCTATTGCTATTAATCCATTACTACTACTTTATCGTATGTGTTGTAGAGTGTAAGTCTAGTACACAGACTAACAGACATTATCTGAAACTCGTCACGCCAGTTCCACAGGGCGAAGTGTTCCCTCTACTTCTGTAGCCCGAGTTTGTGATGACAATTCGACAGGGGGCGGTGATGTCTTGCTCAGTTCTATGGTCTCATGAGTGTGATCCCCTGAGAGCTCCTGCTTGTTATCATAGCCGCGTTGGTGGATATCTCTCTCTCCAGCAGCAATCTGTGAGATTCTTGCTGCTCCCTTTTGCTTCCTCTTTCGCAGGCACACGAACAGCCCGCCACCAACGAGAGCGAGAACTGCAACTATGACCCCAACAGCTGTCCCGGCGATCGCTCCTGTTGACAGGCCAGAGGCTTCTGTTTTGTTGTCTTGGGTCGGAATGCGCACCTCGAGCGGAAAGACGGGGTGATGAACTTCAATAGGGCCTTGGTTCGGGAGATCTGTCAGAGGCACCTTCGTCCAAGACGTCGTAATAGTACTATCGCTCCGTCCCGTCGTCACGATGGGATAGAACCAGATGTCGGTCGGCGTACTGACAATGCTGTAGCAATCACGGGTGTCGGCTTTTCCTGTAGGTGGGTCGTAGCAGTTCCAACCGGGCGGACAGCACCATACTTGGACGTATCGTTGTGAGCTTGTGAGGTCCAAGGTCTTGGTGCACGCCGCCGTCCAGTCGCTGATGCAAGCTGTACCTGGGTAGGCTAAACTGGTCACGTCATCTGAAATCAAAGACTTGTCAGCCACTTCTTTGTATCATTCCCATAGCCTGGTCTTTCTCACCGAAGTCGTCGAAAGGTTTGAAGATATTGGTGTAGGTTTTCGGGAAACATTGTGCCGGGAACGACGTTGTTGTTTCCTCCACGAACTGAAGCCCCCAACAAATCGTCCGTGGCGTTACTTCGTTTGCTTTCCCTTCGCACCGAATTCCCTTGGGAATGATAGAGCAGACGCTGTCTGTGGCAGAAAAGGGTGTCGTTTGGGGCGCCAACTCATAGACCCTCGACAGTTTTTGTCCTTTCGTAACCGACCAATGTGTCGTTGTCGCTGTGGTATAGGCCTGCGTTGAACTCGCCATGACTTCGCGGCAAATCCTTTTTTTTTTTTGTGGATGTTTACATGAAATGAGGCGACCAAAACATGACCATTGAAATAAAATCGCAAGACTGAAGGGCACACGCTTTCGAAATGAATGCCGGGAGAAAAACTTGACTTGAAGTGGAAAGGCCGAAGTATGTGCCCCGGGTCAGCGCTTACTGTTCTACAAATGTAACACCTCGAGAGACGTTGTCTGCAAAAGTTTTCGCATGTTGTGACCAGTCTTACTCGGCCAGGGACGTTGTTTTCTAGTCGCATATGTTGTGTACTATTGCAGCTGAATCAACGTAATTGTTTGCGCAGTCTTTCGAGGGCACCCGCCGTGTCCTTCGGCTACCGAGATCGTGATCCTACGAAGCATCCCCGAGCCTTGTAGCCTCTGCGCGGTAGAATGTTGGGGATGTATAGAAGAGGCCTGTAAGACTGCCATGTTATTGTATATGTATCAGAAACACGTTTATGGGGGTAGAGCCAGTAAGCAAGGAGAAGGGAGCAACAAAACGTAAGTCTAAATATCGCATTATATGCTAAACCGAACCGTAAATCACCTACCAAATACAGGCCCATTCCCCTAAACCACAACCTTGGCCTCATTCTTCGGCCCCCTCTCTCCGAAAATTGTGCTCCCAACTCTGACCTCTCCGCTTCCCAGTCTCACAGCTCCCTCAAAATCCTCACTCATACCCATACTCAGCTCCAGCTCCCTGTCGAGCCCCAGCTCCTTGGTAACCAAATCCCTCTGCTCCCTCAGACACAAAAAGTCCTCGTTCTCGTTCTCTGGCGTCGTCGCCTTGCTCCGCGCGATGGCGCCGATAGTCATCAGACCCAAGAGCCTCAGCGACGGGCAGTCGTTCTCGACGGCGCGGCAGAGGGCGACCGTCTCCTCGCCGGGGGATGCGCCGGACTTGGACTCCTCGCCCGAGGTGTTGACCTGGACGTGAATGCCGAGGGGTTCGGCATCCGGACTGGAGGCTATGAGCTCCGCGCGGGAGGTGTTGAGGAGCTGTGCCTTCTTGAGGGTGTCGACGGACGAGACGCAGAAGAGGTTTGGAATCTTGGCGAGCTTCTTGGCGTGGGCTGTTGCGCTGTGTCAGTCCCTCTCATTTATTCTCACTCTTCCTTTCACGTCGGCTTTGGAAGAAGTCGCCTCCTTATGAGAGATAACGAGGTGCTCTTCACGGGAATTTGGTCAACGTACTAGACTGCAAGCCGCCGATGAAGTGCCACTGGATGCTCCTCGGCAAAAGCTCTGCCTTCTGCCCCAACTCCTGCGCGTAGTTCTCTCCAAAGTGAAGCTGCGGCGGCGTGGCCTGGTGCAGCGCGAGAACGTCGTTTGCCGGCTTCAGCTTGGATACGGCCACCAAGCGGACCTTGCCATCATCTCGTCAGCGACTTTTCATTTCTGGTTTGGCAGGGGGAAGACATCCCGCGGGAAACTCACATTGCGGCCCGCTGCAACGGCAGTGACGCGCTCTTGCACGGCCTGCAGCTGCGAAACGAGCGCCTTTGCTCTGGCGGGATCGATCTTCATTTCGGGCTGGGCGTCTGTCATTGCAGGGGTGCGGATTTTGAGGAAGTTGGTGACGAGGTTCAAGAGAGTGAGTGACGAGTGAGGTTGGCGGAGAGTCATGGATTTCCAGTGTCTTCCAATGGAGGCTATTGATGGCCTAACAATTATGGGGCAATGGGCTGGCAAATTTGGCAGAGATATGCCGGATCTGTGTTAGGGCATTCCCTCAACTTCAAAAAAGCGCTTTCAATTACACGTCCGGCAGGACTTGACACTGAAAATGATTCCAGCGTTTAGAGTTTTTGCTTAATGCGTTGAAGAAAATATGGATTCAGACATTAGTATGTGTGAGATCTGACGCCGACGTGGGACAACCCCAGACGACGAAGATTCACGATGGGTGGTTTCAGTTGTAAATATTAATTGATTAGAAAGATGGCGGCGGACATCATAACTATACGAAGTAGACCTCTATTTACAGGATCAATTCAGCTTGTAGTATATCTGCTCACAGCAGAATACTGCGCCTCGCTTACACCGTCCTACACCTAAACGTGATATGTTGCTTCCCTAGTCTCAACGTCGATGGGATCCAGCAAGTTCAGTTGGGTAGTTGACGCTGGCCGACGAGACTTCTTGGGGTTCACGCGTCCCAGAGAGCTCCGTCATGGGCGACCGATGCTCGTCGATCGGAGACGGATATGACGGCGGGGGCGTAGGCCGACGCACCGGGCTGACGGGGCTTATGTTGCTGACTTGATGCGATAGATGAGAAGATCCGTGGGGATTATGGGCCTGGAACATGTGGTCTCCCGAGGAGTTTGGGCTTGCGTAGGCCGAGTCGTGACGCATCGCAGGTGCCATATGATGGCGAACATTGTCGTGGCTGGAATGATAGCGTCCCTTTCGGAGCCAGAGCCACCCCACCGCAAGTACCACAAGCGCGCCAATTGCGAATGACCCAATGGCAATACCAGCAACAGCGCCTATGGATAGGTTGGCTGAAGAGGCCTTGGGCCCTGTTTCTGCCTTGCTCTTGATGACGAAACCCCTGCTTTGAAGTTCGTTATCGATGAAGCCCGGAGGGTCGCCTGTCTTGGTGTAGTTCCCGGTCGGATCGACGATCCTCAGCGCAAAGTTTGGGTTATTGTTTATTGATTCTTCCGTAAGACCGTCGCTCTCTCCGACAAACCAAGTATAGTAACCATTGTTGCGATCGTTGGCTGCTGTATGTTAGCCAAAGGAAAATCGAAAAAGGGTCAACAGACTTACTTATGAATGAAGCCACCGGAACGCCCTCATCCTTTCCCCAACGCACCAAAACAAGAGATATGTACGGCACATTCGGAACAACCCAAGTGAGTTGGACCTTTTCGCCAAGCGTGTATGTCGTGTTGAGGTTCTGAGTGGTGATTTGGGCACCCGCCTGGTCAAGTTCGAAGCTCGCGGGGTTAGTGAAGTAGTCGCCTTGAGCAGGACTTATGCAGAAACACAACAGGCCCAGCAGCAGTTGGCCGAGGAAGTGCTGGCTGTGCAACAGCATGGTGGATGAGTCCTGGGAGAGGGAAAACGGTCAAGAGGATCAAGAGAGGGGCGGATCGGGCCTCATAAGGTGCAAATTAGGCACCGTGGGGGATTTTAAGCTCATCTCCTGTCTGCCTTGACTAGACCCAAAGTAGGTCCCATTTCAGAAACACAGGATATTTTGGCATGGGTTTAGAAGCGAGGGTTGCATCCAACGATGACCTTCCAGGGCCGTTCAATGGCTAAAGACCATGATGGACTGAAATTGGATGCTGTGCCGCTGGACTGCAGCAACACGAACTTAACCGCTAGGGCCATTGTAGACAACACGAGAATTTATCATTTGTAGCGGAAAGAATAGAGTGACAGGGTGAGGCGCAGTCAGGTTGCATCGTCTCTGGCGGTAATATCAACAACAGGAGTTTCCAAGCTCGTCGGAAGATGTGGAGGTGAGATGGAGACCAAAAGGAACGAACACGCTCACGCCAGTTCCCCCAGACGATCCACCAGCCACACTGTGCCTGAGCCACAAGCCACTGACCCGCCCTTATCGGGAAGCTACGCAAGCTGTCAAGCCACACCACACGACTAAGGTAGGTACAGATCCCTACAGGCACTGAAAACGCGCCCAGACCTTGGGGCGCGGGATGACGGATGACACTTTTGCCCAGCAGCTCCTTGGTTGGTTGGTTCAGATAGATGCTGTGCCGAGTTCCCCTTGCCGCCTACCGTGTCCAGACTCCAGTGCCAGTGCCTTGCCGTCGTCAGCGACGGGACCCCCAGCCCGGAAAAAAGGGATGAAAGGACGTTTATCGATGATAAGTCGTCAGCTCAATTTTCTCACGATCGCGTGCCTTCGCTCCTCCTCCTCAAAGCTCCCTTCGAGGCACCCTTTTCTTTCGTTTAAGCTTTTTTGCGTTTTCTCTTCTTTCCCAAACCAGCCAATTAGCCTTCGTATTTCTTTGCCATCTGCAGAAGCCAATTGTCCGTCTAATTGGCTTGGCCCTCATCAGAGCTCCCTGTCAATGTCCACCTCTTTTCCCAACTAAGCGTGACCCTCTCCGACCCGAGTCGACCGGCCGACGATAGCCTCAATCGAACCTACCATCCCACCGGGTCCCGGCGTTCTGCCAAGCTCTCTCTCTCTCACAGCCGCCGCTTCCGCCGCTGAGTCGGCCGCGAGACCTCGCCCATCATGCCGAAGCAACACATGATATTCGGCCGTCCCCTCCCCCGCTTCGGCACACGACGCATCTCATTCCTCCTCGTCTCAATCTCCATCTTCGCCGTCTTCTCCCTCCTCTTCACCCTGCCGAGCTCCATCCCCTCGGGCCCGAGCCTGAGCAAGTACACCGATCACAAGTTCTCCATCCCGGCCGCCATCAAGAACCCCTTCTCCGCCACCAGCCGCCTCAATCCCTTCCGCACACCATCCCACGCGCCCCCGCGCCAGCAGAACGACACCTATGGCGAGTCCTCCTGGTGGGCCGATTGGAAGTGGCTCTCCGTTCCCTTCTCCTCCTCCCTGACCCTCGACGAGGAGCGCTCTCTCCTTCCGCCCCTCAAGACCCGCCCGCCAATCTACTGCTACTATGATACCACCATCAAGAAGCCCGCCGATGCGAAGGATGCCGAGAGCGAGCTCCTCCTCACCTGGCGCCGTGCCTGGTGGGCCCGTGGCTTCAAGCCCATCATCCTCTCCGCTGCCGAGGCCATGAAGAACCCCCTCTACGACGAACTCCAGCGCAATAAGGAGATGGACGCCGATCTCAAGACCGACATGATGCGCTGGCTTGCGTGGGACAACATGCGCGGCGGCCTGCTCGCATACCACACCACCCTTCCCATGGGCTCCCACGAGGATCCCCTCATCGCCTACCTCCGCCGCGGCGAGTACCCCCAGCTCACCCGCTGGAACAACCTGGGCAACGGCCTCTTCGCCGGCG